GTCCTGCCAGGGTCCCTGCGCCTCTCCCCATTGCACCCACCTCCGGCTGGAAAGGGAGATCGTGGCATCGGCCTCACGGTGCCAGGAGTGAGACCGGTTGTCAAACCCAGCCAGCTTGCCCCAGCGCTTGGGGATGATCAGGGATCTCCGTACGATCAGTCGCTTCCCATCTCTATTATTTTTTATAAATACGCACATTTGAAATCTCTCGTTCTTCCATAGGAGTTATGGAAATGCACAATGTGCTTTTAACATGCGCATCCTCTACCGAGTGCAATAACCTCTCCTGGCCCATGGCTGTCCTGGACTTTGGCCATTGCTGTCAGCAGGGCAGAGAGGATCCTGCTGTGGGGACAGCCTCCTGCTTTCAAGAACCATGTAGCAACTATACCGTGGAAGAGCCAATTCGGATTTCAGTCCGTGGTGGGCAAAGCCTGTTACAATGCTGAAGGCTGACAGGAAGCCGTGTTTTTCTTTTCCCCGTGAATTATCTATTATGAAACTCTGAGTTTCTTCGAGCTCCCCATTATGCCTATATCATTTCTCCATAAATCTCTCAGTCTAATACAGAGGAAAAGTTTTTTATTGTCTGTATATAGTATTCTGTATATAGTATATATAAATAAAAAATATATAAATTATATATATACACAAATTTATGTCTTGTTTTACAAACAAGAAAGATTAAATATATTAATCTTAATATCCAAACTAGCATTTGTGTCTTTTTTTAAGAGCTTTGTGGAAATGTGGCTATTCTTAGCTGTACAAAACACTGTTTGTAAGCAAAACCCCCTATTTTTGTTGCTATAGAAATGCAGGTATCTCCGTACTGGAAGGGCACAGCTTAGCGACTCCACAATGTTGCTGGACTGCATGGCAGTTAAGTAGCAGGCCATGAAGGAAGCCATGAAATCAGCAAAAATGCAGGTTTGAAATGAACTGTTTGACTTGGCACAGTTTTTGTTGTTAATGGGCATTTGGCTTAATTCCTTCCCCTCCAGGAGGGGAACGCCTCCAGCGGCACCCACCCCTTCACCGCTGGCACTGGGCACTGCGGCCGTGCTGGGGAAAGTGTGGTCCTGGTGCCGGCAGGACACCCTGCTGCCCCTAAAGCCCGGGAGAGCCGGGACATGCTTTAACCCCCCTCTGTTAGCAAACTCCTGCCTGATCCCTTTCAGATGAGCCAAGTTGAGCAACCACTGACCAGCTCCAGTGCATGTTTTCATCCAGGTCGCAGCCTCTTGCCTGGCCTTTGCTCTTCTGCCTGGGAAGAGGTGACGGCGTGCAACCTGCCATCAGTGGCCAATGGTTCTGCTGCCCTGTGGGACTGCTCAGGTGTGTCTGCAGGGGAAAGCCCAGCAAAAGCGTAATGCCAGACCCGGGGAGAAATCTGAGCAAGGCAAACAGTTTCCTAGCTACAGATGATGTTTCCAATATCCCGTTCCCTCTGCGGACACATTTTGCCTGGCACAATGAACTGCTCTCTATTTATCAGGGAGGAAGGCATTCATGTGTGCCCTCTATGCACCCCAAAGCCTCCAGGAACCACAAAAGCCAAATCTGATAAAGATCCAACACAAAAAAACATAGGAAGTGGGTCATTCTCTGTACGGGGGTTGAATGTGTTGTCTAAAGCAAAAGCAGCAGCAGTCGAGACTCACACACGTTCTCTGTGCCTCCAGGCTTGTTATTTTAATCCGCATCACACCATTTCCCATGCTGAACTAATGAACTATGACATTGAATGGGACAAAACCCACCTATTTTATAAAGCTGAGTATGGATCAAAAAAATGGAAAAGCCAAGAGGTTTTCTAACAACCCCCAGAGCCTGAAAATATTATTGACAGCAGGCAGTTTAATCAGCAATTTCAGAGTCGATGCTTAGTACCATCTAGTGGGCAATCAGCACCCCGTCAGAAAGGAATTATTTCTTCACAGCATGCTGTTATTATTTGTACAGCAGTGGCAATAGGTGCTCCAGGATCAGTCAAATGTCCCTGTGGGAAGGGAGGAGCTATACTGGTACGTACCCAAGAAGGATGATGAAGCCCTGTTTTTATTATTGCTGTACGCGTCTTTTAGGTGCTGTCCTGTGGCCTCACTCTGTTGGGCACTTGTAAATACTCTTAAAGGAAATGATTCAGGTAAAATGTTCTAGTTAATGTTTTTGAATCACAGATTTTTAAAAAAACTGCATCTCAGTTACACAGCACAGAGAATTAATTTTTTTTTCTAAATCTAGTTCCCATTTCACTGTCCATCTAGTTTATCTACTGCAGACTGCCTTGTTCTCATTTATCATCAGGATCTCTTCAGATCAAAGCCACTGTCCCCCAGCAAGTTAAATCAAAGTATACAGTTCTCGGAAAAGGACAATATTGTTTTGCAGGTGTGTGTGCATAAAGATAAATCAATTTTTCAACATCCCCTCCCACCAGAGCAATCTGCCTGAGCGTGGCAGGTTGTGTTCGCCTGCCCTTTAGCACCCTCTCAGAGCAGTGCCAGCAGTAACTGCCCTTCTCATACTGCTTTCACCCTGACTTTTTTGCTGTAGCGTTACAGCTGGCGCAGATTTCCTCCAGGGCGTTCACGGCTCCCATGAGAACTGCTCAGCCACAACATGCATTTGTGACCATCCAATGTCATTGCGCTCCCATAGTCTGCTCCCTCCCTTAATCTTCTCTAAATTATGTCCGCTCCCAAGGAGACCTCACCAGGGCTCTGTCAGTGACAATGGATAGAAAAGGAACAAAAATTGGGCCATCACTGGTCCCTCTAATACACATGAGAAAAACAGAAGACCTGGCTTTCAGGGGTTAAAGTGTCAAAAGTAGGAGAATTAGCAGACCTCAAGCAGTAGTCCCAAGATAAGTTTGGATAAAATTGCTTGTGTCTCTATGGACTTTGCTGGTCATTGTCAGCTGGAGACAACAACTGGGCACCATGGTTTAAAGCACTTTGAACTTTAATCCCCACAGCATAGTGGCCACATTCTCCTGTCAGGATTTCCATCCTCTCCAAGGTCCTGGCAATACTACACAGGAATTGCAGCAGCCCCAGATACAACAGCAGGGCGAGCTGAATAGCTGGGACCCACTGCTGCTTTCATCACGCCCAGGGGAGCCGACAGTCAAATAGAAATGAATAATGTCTAAGTTTTATCCTCATTTACAGCACAGTGTCTGGATTCCTGTGTAAAACATCCTAACAAATTCCTCGCGTAGGCAGACATGGTAGAGCTGGCTGAGACACCCATGGCTTTAATTGGACATGGGAGAAGTCTGCCAGGGAAGACAGGTATCTCAGCTTATTTACATCGCCCAGCCTTATTTAGTATACATGAAAACAGTCTGTACACGATAGGAAACTTTTCCAAAGGTTTTTGTGCCAGGCTATGTAATTCCATGTCAAGGCACGAGCAGACAAGGAACCTGCCCAAGCCTCATCCCACTGCAGCCGCTGCACAACCTTCCAGCCCAGCTGAGATGGTGCCCCTTGCTGTCACCTGCACCCCCGATACAGAGTGAACAGGCAGGGCGTTTTCTGCAGCTGGACTACAAAGTCATTAAAAAGCAAACACATCGTGTTCAAAGTGGCAGAAATCCCCGCGCTGCCTCTCCGAGGTTTGTTGCATGTGCCAAGGGCTGGGGACAGAGGTGAAAGGGCTGGGGACGTGCGCTGGCTCTACGCACATGGTGCAGGACACTTTATAACGCTACGCTAAACCCCACATTTGAAAAGCACCTTGGAAATACTCCTGAATCTAATGAATACTCACCTCTTGCTAGAGCAACAGGACTCCATCCTCCTACTTTTAACTGGGCTCCTTAGAAAGGCACAGTAAAAATGCTGAGCTGAAAGACCAGGAACACAAAGGGACCAGTCCGGATCCCTTAAGGAGCTTTTCATCCCTAAGTCTGTATTTCTAGTGGAGACTTGAGAATACCATTGACTTCCCAAAGTTTTCTCCTTTTCCTGACAAATGGTGTGCTTTTTCCCGGTCGATGTGCTCTGGTTCACCTACGTCCTCCGTAACTCTGGTGGCCTTGACAGCGCTACGGGCGAGCTTCGTTCCTCAACACAACCCACGGCACCCCGTGGGACACCTGCGGTACAGCGAGCTTCTCTGCAAGGGAAAGAATAGGGGTGTCTTGTAGAGCCAGTAAAAATTCGAACCAAGATGGGTCTTATTGCATCTGAGTGGGTTTGATTAGCAGAGAGAGATTTGTCTAAAAATAATCCCTGCAAAGCAAACGACAGAGGCAGAGCAGCGGGCCGAAAGCGAGCAGCCGGCAGAACTGCTCCCAGAGGGGCAGTTGGCTTTTCTGCTCCCGCACAGAAAAGCCTCGGGTCTCTGAGGTGTCCGGTGGGAAGCGGGGAGGGGAGCGCCACACAGAAGGGCCTAACGCCGCAGACGCAGCGCTTCTCGGCCTCCCGCCCTCTTGGGCCTGGGCGCCACCTCCCCTCGGCGCCTCCCCAGCCCCCCGCTTCGCGGCCCCTGCTTTGCTCCTCGCCTCCCCTGACCAATCGCAGGCCAAGCGGCCGGGCAACGACCAATCGCAGGCCTCCTCCTGCTCTGCGCCCCACCCCCTGGGAGCGAGCGAGCGGCCGCGCGCGCC